AACATGCGAAACATGCAGGTACTTTTCTCGTCTTTGGTGTACCTTCGAGATTGCCACCTTCATGAAGGATCCAGAACGGCGCAAGCAGATCCGCTTCATGCCACTGAAACTCGGCGTGCTTAGTATATGGCTCCAGTCCAACCCGAGCTTCTAACCTACACATGGATGTTGCATTCAAGGGTTTGCGGGTAGGCCTTGCCGGCGACCTTCCGCCCACCCGAGGAAAACAGCGCTGATCTTTCTGATTTACTCGGCTTCCTGGCATCTGCTCGTATGCGCCTATGCCATCTTTCGGCAGATCAGGTCCGGTTGTTGGGGAGACGTTCAAGCTAATCTAGGGGCCTAAATAATTACCAACACTATGTTGGGGGGTTCCGTATTTTAATTACGGTATGATGGCCCCAAAAGCCTATTCTAATTATTAAGGCCCCTATCCCAGCCCAGAGCCGAGCCTCCACTCCCACGCCAGGCCAGAGGTGTATGGCGCTGGAGCCATTGTGACTGCGATGATGTTCGGGCTCTGGGCTACCTGGTTCCGATTCAGTCGCGTTTTCTTCTGGATCTTAGAGGCGTTTCCCTTGGCCTTGTTTGGACAAGGTTGTCCTGGGCCCTGTGGTCCTGTACCTTGAACTGGGGATGCATCTGGGCAGCATTAGCAGGAGATGCTATGTCTCGTTGAGAAGTCTTCCAGCTCAACACCAAGAACTAAAGCCGCACATCCGAAACTGAAGCATGGACACCTTAAAACCCAAGCCCTACGTGTGCTCCAGGATCGGGGACATTGAGAAGCTCCCCATGCAGCTTCGGAATTTTCGCGTGCAAGACTCTCGCTTCACAGGATTCAGAGTTCTCGGCGTGCTTTGAGCCTGCGAGACGAACATAGGGCTCGGCTCACGCCCGGTCTGAAACCTACAGACACGAACAGCTACAATCTAGAAACAGCCACCTTGCTGTAAGGGATGTTTCCTTCAACAAGGTTGTCGTTAGGTGCTTTGGTCAGCTCCTATGGCTGTTATGCAGTACGGCAGTATGACCACTCGTAATTCAAAGACCTCAGCCCACGGAAAGGAAGCGGACTGCTTCTGCTGCACACACGGGCATCGGCATCCCCAAACCGGGGAGGAGAGACTCGGCATCGCTCAGAACCTCACAGATTGGAAGCTACAGTCCTCGTTTTTGTTGGATTCATTTGATACTTCCGGCGGATGCAGGGTCTGTGCCCCAAGGCCCCGATGGAAGGTCTGGGTGTTCGTCCTTTGACCAACTGCGTGTTGCCGAAACCGGCCAGTTTAGCGTTTCGGAGTTGGAACCCTAAAGCCGCGGCTCCGAGCACACCCGAAGCTTCCGACTGGGCATCAAGGATTCCATGTGACCGCGAGCTTGTCTACAAGTCTCTGCAGAAGTGGTATGGCGAGGAGCTGTGCGTTTCGCAGAGGGGCAGAGTGCTGTGAAATAGTCTTGACAGGCTTCATGCCAGACTGATTCTGGACCTCGCGGATTGTCGGTCGGGTTGAGAAGAGTTTGGGATTCAGGTTGACAGGTTGTAGAAGTACCAGGGTCTTCGCACACCCAGGATCTACCCTTAATCCGCGGCTGTCCCACGCTGTCCCTTCATGCGACGATGTGGCGAGGAAGACTGTTTTTCCTACTCACACTGTTGTCCCGATTCTACGAGTGGGACTGTTAGCGCCAGTAGTCGGCTAAGTTTGTGTCATTCACGCCCCAGCAGCGACTGCAAAGATGACATCGCAGGCTCCCACCCAGTCCCAAGTCTTTCGAGGACAAGGCTTAGGCTCCAAACTGATTGCGCCGAATCTTCACCTGAAACCATCCAGAACGAGATGCTCCCCTGCAGCTCGTTGCAGGCGTTGGCCATAGCATTTCACGTTTTCAGCCCAGCTCCTCTTTGGAAAGGCCATTCACTCTGTAGGACCCCACAGCACACCCGCCACCACGAGGTTCGATGCATGCAACACTTGAGAGAGACCTGCATTCGTTCGTGATTTCGGTGGGTTCGTCGCTTCGTGCGCCTCGGAGAGCACGCCGCCGGTGGCGCTTCAGTGCCAAGCTCTGCCTGTCATCTTTGCAGGACTACCTGGAAACTTTCAACGGTCGAGTACGACATTACCTGCCAAGGAGCCTCGTCTATGGCACAGGTGGGTTCCTGCTCCCTATCCGGTACGCTGTGTACACTGTGCTGGCTAGCAGCCTACCGTACCTCGCAGATCCTATCTCAGCGTGTCTGGGCCTTGCTTAGCAAATTTGTCATGTTTTGGGCAGCCATACATACACAGAAGAGTCTTTGGACACAGATGGATAGAGAGAGACTTGCAGCTGCATGATGGGGGCAGGTCATTTACAGCGGCATCACAGCTGTCTGGGATGGCACTTCTTGCCTGGGTGTTACGTGAATTGATCGAGTGGGGAGCCTTAGCTGGACTCAGATCAGAGCATGGAATTTGTTCTGCAAGTTTGTGAGGAGCTGACTGTATCAGCTCAACAGCAGACTTCCCACGCGTTGGGGTTCTACAGCTTGTCGATAGTTCGGGTCATCCACTGAAGTGTGCATCGTATACAACGCCGGCTTTTGCCTGTGGTTTTGTCTGTGAGCAAGATGTGATTGAGAGACCACTGAGGACTTGTTGGCCTGTGCAGTCTCTTATCGGTGAGGCTCTCCCTGCCACTATGTCGGATGGGTTTGCGACTCCAGATGACGAGGTGCTCTGTTGTTTTTTGAGGAGAGGGCGAGCGGTGTTCATGCAGACAGGGGATGGGTGCTAGACATGTTAGCAACAGCATACCTGCAGGTGCACCACAGCCATCATCCTGGTCCCGGCAATTTTCTTCATCATTCTGTTGGTATGGGCTCCGGTCCGGATTGTTTTGAGATGGACACCGCAGGACACCATTTGGCCCACGGCGCTTTGCGTAGCCTGGCTTTCTGCGGCCATCTGTCTTTTCTTCCCACTCAGGAAGAAACCGAAGCCTGCGCTGGAAACCAAAGCGGTGCCCGCTCCGCAGGAAGCAGCCCAAAAAGGGGCAGCAGTCGACGATCAAGACTACTTTGTGGTTTAATCATTGTTTTATCTATCAGAATCTACCACTGGGGATGGAAAGTAAACGGAAGGCAAGTTGAAGAGAGCCACGGGTAAACAATCTGATCTTTTCTATCCCTGGTGGAAGCACTACGGCAAGAGCCGGATCGGTGAATTGCACCCAAGAAGCTGTAAGCGCTTTGGGGCTCCTGCCTTTCGGCAAGACTTAATTACCCTGCCCGCAGTACCTGTTGTTTTCCCCACGTGTTCACGACGGGAGGGCTGAGGATCGCACAAGCGCGGCGAAGCTGGCTGGAGTGGTCTGCGGCCCCCCCGGTTGAAGCATTGCTTCACTTTCCTGCCTCCGATTGTTTGAGTCGGAAGAACGCTGCTTGCCCGGCGCGAAAAAGATGCGAGCTCTGAGAGCAAGAAGAAGCTGCAGCTAGTATGGATTGAATGGACTTGGTCCTCACAGCGTCCATGTCCGGTGGTCCTCCACGCTCCCACGCTTGGCGCAGAAGTGTTGCATCTCCGAATCTCCTGTACAAAGCCCATGGGGCCTGCACGAGGTCGAAAATCTTGAAAAGCCTTAGTTCTATTTGCTTACGCCTTCCGTATCGTGTCGCCGTAGTTAGTATGTCATACCACGGAGTGGTACACCTATGCTGAGCTGTAAGCCCAGGAATGTCCAAGACGTACTCATCGGGCCCAAATAAACGTGCAGAGGCGGAGATTGAGGAGGCTGCCATTGAGTCCCTCATCCGGTGGTACTGTCGCGAGGACCTGGGGAGCTGAAAGCATCCGACCGGCTTGATGCTTCTGAGTTGCGTGCGGGCTTGAACTCATTGGCTCCGGGCTGCCGCCCGATCCTACCTGTCTACCTGCAGTAATAAGCTCAACTTGCAAAAGCAACAGGGCCGGGATTTCTGAGCCACTCGCTTTAACGCGCCAAAGTTTGACAGTTTTACATCTCTGCCAAAAGCCCTCTGCTCATGCTGGAGGCTGGGGTTCGAAACCTGCAGAAGCACATCGAGCGGGTCTGCCGCAAGCTGGCCACGAAGGTCGTGGAGCAGCTGGAGGACAAGAAGAGCGACTCCCTCATCTTTCGGGCTGGGCATGACTAGGAGTTTGGCTTTGATGACCATGAACAGACAGAAGCATATGCTTATATGTATATATATATATGTACATTTATGTAATTATACATATATGTATGCATGTATGCATGCATGTGTGTGTATATATATATACACATACACTATGCCCTGCACATGTGCATCTGTGTACACGGAATATATAGTTAGAAGCAACATATCTATAGATATACACACACAATATACATGCACAGGTTCGTGCTTGCTTATGCAGTATGTATTTAGCTGTTTAATCATTGAAGTGTGGGCTTTCGGTGGTTGTATGTTCAACTGTTTCACGTGCATGCATGTAGTTGGGCAGTACATGAAATTGGCAGTCGTTTTGCCTCTCTATGTATATTTGCAGATTGTCGTAGCGTACAAGTTTGTAGTGTGCATGCCGAGCTCGGGTGTTGGTATGCGAATATACGGCTTTCGATCTCAGCACTCCTCCATGAAAGGTCCGGAACAAGCTGATGCAGCAGCCGGTGACGATCAGGTCATCGAGATGCGTGTGGATGAAGGTGCGGTCAAGAAAGAAGCACGACCTTCATTTACACATACATGTATGCGTGATAGTATGTACTACTAGGTTCCTGAGTAATACCCTTTTGTCCTTTTTATAGTATGGCACTTTTATCACAACTGAATATCAGAGAAACGGGTATCCTTTTTAGTAAGGGGTCACTCAGGAACTCAGACTTTCATGCATGCACATCTATATGTATGTGTGTTCGTGTATGTGCATGTGTATGCATATACAGACATACACGTACAAATATTCTGTGGGTTCTATTCTATTCTATTCTATTCTATTCTATTCTATTCTATTCTATTCTATTCTATTCTAGTCTGTTCTGCTATATCATATGCATGTACTATGTATCATACATCCGTATTCATAAGGGTATGGACTATACAAGAATATGGCTTGCGCATAGTATTGCGCGTATACACAGATACATATATATATATATATATATAGATACTTGTATGTATATGTGTATGTGCAGGTTTTTGCTCCGGGCATAGTTGATTCACGAGTTGTTCGCCGTCCCTTCTGTATATGCCTACATGTAGGTATATATTGTATATACACATAATATCATATGTTTTTATACCGTTTATATAGATACGTAGATAGATAGCTAGGTAGCTAGATAGATAGACAGATAGACAGATAGATAGGTAGATAGGCAGAGAGATAGATAGAGATATATACATATGTCTAGACAGGGTCTTGACGGTTAGACAGGGCGGGCCTTCTGCTAGACAGGGTCTTCTGTCAGACAAGGGTCTTAAGAGTTCTGAGCCGAAAATGGCTTGGCTTGTCTTCCAAGTTCCTGCTAACAGAACCTCGACACCTCTAGTAAGCCGTTATAGCAACTATGGCAAGAGTATCGCCTACACCTACGTGAGCATATACATACATCATGCTTCACTCGTATCGATGGAGTCTATCAAAGACGCACGCCAGCAGAAAAAACGAATTCAGAGGAAAGGCCGGCGCAGAAATCTAGCGGGCCATGCCCTCGCCGCTAGGTATGTGCTCGTAGGCGCCGTAAAGCCTGAAAAACCGGCGGACCACTTTGTGCGCATTCCGGTTGTGAAGGATTCGGGATTGAACCAGCGCAAGTGCTAGAAGCCGTCCTCACCCTCCCATAGAAAGGATTGACTGCTCCATGAACTACCACGAACGCAGTGAACAAGCAAGTGCCGCCTGAGGGCGTCACGTGTCGAACATGTCGGCCCTGACGTCGTCGATTCAGCTTGATACCGTGTGGAGCGTCGACTCCTTCTGGACGGACGGTGCGGTCCGAGAGCACGTGGCCACCCTCAATACGCGGCGCCAGGTGGAGCTTTGACTCTTGCTGGATGGCGCAGGCTAAGAGCGCACGGCCGTCCTCCAATTTCTTGTCTGCGCAAGGGCCTCCATTGACCAGTGTACTGCTGGGAACACATCCACCAGCACCAGTCCCCCGAGAGAAGGTATGCAAGGCATCATCGCCTCCACCAAGTACCTTGTCCGAAGGCAGTCGTCCATCAGGTTGTATGCCCTGCTCAAGGCAGAAGCGTTCCCAGCATACAGCATATCGCGAAAGCCGCTACGACTGTACCAACGCTTGTCGGCCTGCCCCAAGTGGTCGCTCAGCGAGTGGAACAGGCTCCGACACGCCGCGCCATCGCTTGGAAAGACCAATTTTATCACACATCTGTGTGAACAATGCTTGCCCACGACCGCGCAAGTAGCATATGTGAATCATGTGAACCAGCGTTCCGGCCACTTAGAGACGTCGCAGCATGTATTCCTCAAAGGCCGATCATGCCACGAACTTGAGTCCAGCCTACGCGCTGCCTTCTCCGCCATCTGCCGGAGAACTACCTTATGAGGTGTCAAGTCAACTCCAACGCGCGCCTGCAGCCGTAATTAGACGCAAGGCACGCAGCGACACAGAACCAGAAGCAGTGACGAGATCGGCAACTGCATGATCCAAAAAGTGTTCCGGGATGCACCCGTATACATATTTATATATACATATATACACGTACATGAGTGTGTTTATATGTATCTACATTAATTGAGTGTGTGTGTGTGTGTGTGCGCATACGGTGTGTAGTAGGCCAACGCACTTCTGCATAAAATAGCTCGAGATGTTGTTGGACAGGGAAGAAAACAGATCTTGTGTACTCATAGCGCGACATGTTTTCAAAAACCGCATGTTTCCAATTCCTGAGGGTTCACTCTTGGGGTCTCAGGGCTTCACCGTGGATCTGCCCAAACTCCACGGCCGATACCCTGTGAGACGAAGCCCGTGTTTGCAGACAGCGTGGTTTGCTTTCGCTGCTGCAGTGCGTTCATTGATCTGTTTCAATATTTTAGTCTATATGCGTCGTTTGTGGAGAGATCATATACTCAAAGTGAGACTGCTTAAAGGGTCCTTTTGGTGTGGAGGCTCGCTCAGCGACTATGTGGGGAAGCCGGCCGCGGTGGCTGCAACGAATGCTTGGACAATGGGATTGGCTAGAAGGCATTTCGCGGTAGTGGGCTTGGGAACCGTAAGCCGTAAACCCTGATTTGGGGAGTGAGATGTTCTTTGCCGCCTACACTGATTTTGCACGACGAGAAGCATTCCAGGGTGCTTGCAAACTCCTCCTCTCGCGACATATGCAGACTACACCGAAATTATTGCAGACATCCCTCTTCTTCTCAACCGAAGCCCTGAAAAACGGCCCCTAAAACCCTAGAGCCCTAAAATCCAGAAACCCTTAATCCCTCGCGTCTCGCGTTTCGCTGGTACTCCGAGACCCAGGTCTTCACCTCGGATCGTCTCTACGAGGGGGCCTTGCCGCCGGGAACCGTTACAGGCGAAGCCTCGCTAGCCCAGGGGCTCCTGAAGTTAAGGGCTTATTGGTTTAGGGTTTAGGATTTAGGGTTTAGGGTTTAGGGTTTAGGGATATAGCATTGTGATCATGACATACTATCATCCGTTATAACATCTGTATATATTCTAATCTTCTGCCGTAGGTTATAGTGTCTTATCATATGTTACAAGACGTTGTAACATATTACAAATGTATTGTATCGTATTGTATCATACCATATCATATTACCACATAACACACATATATATAATACAATATTAGAGCAGAATATATTCAAACATGCGGTTTTGCAGGGGCTCAGAGGCTTTTGGTAGGGCTGCTCAAATTCGGGCTCCCGTAGTCAGGCTCCGAATAATGAGGATCCTACTATCCAGAGATCTCATATCCAGAGTTCTCATATGCTGTCACAGACGGGTATGTACGCAAGCAGATACATGTTGCTGTGGTGTCTCTGTGTTATCGAAAACCTCTGTAGCCTAGAATGTTGTATCATCTTGGTTAAGGTGCTATGGCGTGCCATGGCAATCGAAGGAATGATGAATGCTCTGTACTGTTGTGTACTTCAGCGCTACTAGCATGAACATTGCCAAGTAAAAAAACGATTTTGCACCAGAGCAGCTGCGTGCAGAACTGACTCGAAGGACTTGCCTGGACTGCACTCGGAGGATCTGTGCTCTATATCGAAGCTTGGTAATCATGTTGGATTTTTTACTTGTCTTTAAACTTTTCAAGGTGTACATCGTTACACACCCTGCAAGCCTTTAGCAATCGAAGACTAAAATGAAGACGACATCCCAGGAAGCGACAGCTCTGCCCCGCCGCAGTGCCACGGCTGAAGGGGCCCCGAAAGCTCCGCCGGCACTGGCCGTGACGGGCCAGCTGGGCAGCGTGATGAAGGCAAGAAGAAGTTGTTCTTGACCTGGAGAAGGTTTCTTGCCAGACCGATCTGCAACTGACTCGGAACATCCTGTAAGAGCCTTGCAGGAATCCTCCTCCATCGCTCTGCTCGTGGCACGGCGGCAGCTCGCCGCGCGCGGTGCTGGTTCCTTCTTCGAGGAGGGATGTGGCACTGTAGTTGGACATGGGGGTGGAAGATCGTGCAACCGGCTGACTCCAAGTAACGACTCTTTGGACATGCTTCCATTGACTGTAGTTGTGTAACTTTCCACTCCGATCTCCACGGCAAGCAGCACCACCCTGGACCCTGGAGGACCATGAGCTCTTCCTCCATTGTCCAGAGGGTGCTACGCCCAAAGACGGCCCATCTGCACGCCGCCCAGGAAAATCTGCTATCCCCTCGGCTAGACATCGCGATTCATGTTGCTCGCACCTGCGCTTTACGGGCCGCGTGGAAGCCTGACTCGCAATGCATGGGGAATCGAAGGGCAGGCCTTGAGATGTGACCGGATTGACCCGCGCGTGAGGCAGAGCATTGGTGTTCCTTCTGGCTGAGGGCTTCACAGGGCCCTTCCCAGTAGCCAGCCTCGAGGTCCTCGAGGTTGCTACGTAATGTCTGAGCTCTTGCATGGAACGTTGAGGCTGGTGTCACGATGACCACGGCTCTTCTGTCCTTGGCGCTCGAGCACCCTGCCTGCTCTTGGACATGTCGGCAGAGTTGTAAACGGTCATCGCTTTCAAGTTCGAAACAAGCTTGTCGTGGCTCATGTTTGCAGTGCAGGCTTGCATGGCACCTAGAGTCAGGTTTGCCGGTCCTCTTTGATGCCAAATTGTGCTGTGGGAAGGGGGCACCGGGATTTCGAGTTCTCGGGCTCATCTGGCACGCACTATAAACCTCCAGGCTTTCTACACCGAGACCAGGTTCATCAGGGTGTGTTTAGAGCTTGGATGAAGAAGAATCTGCCGGGCGCGTGTTTCCACACAAGAAAGCTTGAAGAAAACATCATGTCAGCCTTTTGATGGCGTCGTACCGTCTTCGAGACGGATACTAGGGCCCTTTTTGAAAGGAAGCCCATCGCCACTGACCTTGCCATGACCGGCGAGGCAGGAACCCGACAAACTCCAGGGTCTTTAGAAGAGCTCCACCTACATCGAGAAGGGATACCGTAGGTCCGCTCAACAATCGATCTGGTCGGTGCAGGATACGGAAGTTGGTGCGTGTTGGTGGTGCCTGATCTTGTGCTGTTGCTGAAACCTTGGATCTGGCTCACCTTGAATGCTGCCGCAGCACAGGGTACGTCCAAGCTCTAACGGATGATCATCAGCTCCCCACTCACTTCTTATCCAGCGAAGCCCCCCGCCCTTACGCGCCGCCCATAGTATTCCTCCGGGTTCCCTAATTAATATGGTTATCCTGAGATATACCCCGCAAAGCCTATTCTGAGTATGAAGGTCCTTGCAATAGCTCCTCCACAGTCTCTGAAGTCTCGGACTGCGCTGGCCAGGTTTCACTGAATGGCAAAGTCTTAGCTGTCGGCGGCATTAAGGACATCTGGCATGAGCCTGTTCTTCTATTGTGCCGTCAGATTTCAAGCTTTGTTTTTGCGTTTAACAGCCGTGCTACCGCGCATCTCACCCCAAGTGCCCACACACAGAAGACGCGGTCCGGCAAGTCAGGAACACGGCGGAGATCCCGTGCCCAGAATCCGACAAACCGGAGCTGCGAGTCGGGTGTTTCCCGAGACCTTCAGCTCACATATCCAAGTCTTAGCCATGACGAAGCTGTGCTGGAAGACGCGGTTGACCAAGAAGTCAAAGCTCTTCCGTGATTTTGTGCTTCGTGCAAGCATGGCCTCCGAAACTGATAACCAAGTTTGGGTTCAGGGTGCCGGGATCATAACGACAAGGGTTTCATCGCAAAGTGCAGGAGAAGACGATTGCAGCCCGTCGCGCGGGCTGCAAGACACTCGTCTTCCCGCAGGCCAACCGCAGGGCTCCCAGTGAAGCCTGGAGCTGGGGGCGTCATCGTACAAGCCTTGAAGGAGGCCTTAAGGGATCCCTGAACCAAAGGAACCCTTAGAGGATTCCTTTAAAACGATGGTAGTTCGAACGCACCCTCCAACTCTCGAAGAGTCTCGAAGTCTAGAAAACCCGGACGACGACTGTCGTGGCTAAGCTTTCATCCTTTGGATGTCATGTGGAGCCGAAGATCATTGGGGACTTCATGGTCCGAGGGAAGAACCTTGCCGGCGAGGTACGAGGATCTTCGGTAGTCAAACGCGGGTGAACGAAGTTCCGGGTGTAGATTGCAGACACAAGAGATTCGCGCATTGCATTGCCGTAGCCGTATCGAAACCCCCTAATCTGCATTCCTGCTGCCTATGCTTGTGGATAGACGGGGTCCTTCGAAGGAACTGTCCCTCGAGTCACTCAGGGCGAGACTTCGAGGAGCTTCCAGAGTACTTGCGCGATGGCTTAACAGTCGGGAGGCCCAGTTGCGAGGCCACGGCAAAGCAATAGCAGCTCCCCATGAAGGCCTGTGTTCCCCTTCATCTTATGAGGCAGCGACATGTGCGGCCTGTCTTCAAAGTGCCGCCTCAGGTCCATTTCGCAACTCACTTCGACGACGTCTTTGATGTGGCCTTCAAGGATCGATGTTGCGCGCCTTTCGCGAAGCGTTCCCGACACCTGTTCCATGAAATCCAAAGCCGCCATTGCATGGGCATGTCTGCCATCACCTGCCTGCTTCGCGGGGCGCAAATAGCCTGGGTTGGGACATATGCAAGAAGTCTCATCAGACGAGTTGTACCTCGGATGCTACATGCCTTTATTGAACCTCGGCGCGAGGCAGACGACATCGCAAGCGAGAGCTCAGGGACAGCCTAATTCAAGGATGTTCACCTGTACGGGTGGATGACGTAGCTCGGGGAATCGAAATCATACCACGGCCCGGCTCGCACTAATTAGTGAATTTTGACATGGCGACAGATGTATGTTTGAATGCCTGTGCCTGGATACGAAAGTACTGTAAGTGGTGTTTCAGTCAAGAATTGTGGGCAGGCATGGCGAGACTCCATTGCCCACAGTGTAAACCTTCAGCTTGCCTCTCTTGCTCTGAATTTCAATCGGTACAGCGAAAATGCGAATGCATTCTGCAGCAAGCCGTGTGCTTGGGCCGGACGTTGGCATGAGCCGTGCCCTTCTCGTGTTCTGCTGCAGCTCCTGGTGAACCATCCACGAGAGTGTTGTATTCAGAGTGCATCAGCTTGCATTTATTGTTCGAAGGCCTGCGGAAGTAGGAAAAGTTTCTTGATGGCATATGTGGGCTGCAAAAACCGAGAAGGGCACAGCTTATGTGTGCGAGGCAAGCATTATGTGTGACGCTGGTGATCTGCAGGGCTTAGCTGGCTACGGTCCACTCATTGGCTTTGTAAGTGTGATGTGCCCTAGAGCTCTATCGATGGTGATTGCGCATTGACACCAGCTAGCCCTGTTGCAGGCACCCTTTCCAAGTTTTTGTCTCCAACAGATAGCGTGAGGCTAAGTACAGGAGCATCCGCTCTTTTTCTCTAACGGACCCTGCCGGTTGCATAGGTACGCCACCGGGCGGAGTGACGCTTTAGTCAAGGCTTGGGAAGCTGAATCGCTGTGCAGCGAAGTAAGCAACCGCATGCTCCAAGTTGCAAGATCTCCACAGGAGACACCATGTTCACAGCCTGCAGAAAGGTCGTGGACGCCCATATTGTAGTCGAACTCGGAGCATCAAAACGAAATCCAACCGAAGCCGTAACCACGGTAACAGCATCAATAGCATTCTTCTCTAGGCCCTTCAGAATTGCGGTGCCTCCCTTCTGACTACCCCTCTCGTAGAGCTTCCTTCCTCAAAACTCGTGGAAGTGGCCAAGGCCACATGATGGTGACTGTGCGATGGCCACCATTCAACAGTAGTGATACATTCGTGCTGTCGGCAGTCGCACAGCAGCAGCAGCAGCAGCAGCAGCAGCAGGAGGAGCAGGAGTAGTAGTAGTAGTAGTAGTAGTAGTAGTAGTAGTAGTGATAGTGATAGTCGTCGTGGGAGTAGCAGTAGCAGTTGTATTACAGGTGCAGGGTTGACACCGTGAATGTTGGGCCTGGGTAGCAAGATTATACGTGCAAGGGCCAATCTAGATCTGTCGACGTCAGAATCCTCTTATTCCGCCGATCCAGCTCCTTCCTGCAGGCTTCCTAGGCAAGAAACCTCCATGCGACCCCCTGCAACCCGCAAGAAAAAATCCGGTGAGCGTGCAGGGCCCAGTCGATTTCACAAAGCAATGGTTTGCGTACGGGCGAGTGAAGTGCGCAGCATGGCATGGAGGCTGTGTTGAAGAGCCACGAAAGACGTCGTTGGCAGGCTGCCCTACTCTGATCTATGCATGCTGCGTTCCTATTTATCGTCTCGTTTTTTGGTGGCTCAACAATCCAGCGGGTGCCGCTTGAGTCGGGCAGAGGCTGTGGTAGCTCTTCAGCTGCATCAAGGGGTACAGTGGGATGTGAGGTTGTTGCTGTAGATGTACCTCAACAAGTGCTACAGCTTTCAGGGAGGCTTACGACGATTGTACAGGCGAAGAGACCATGCACAGTTCATGCTATGTACAGAGAGTGAGAGACAGAGAGTGCAGGAGAAGTCCTGTAGACTTCTATTCAGCTTCAGATCCTTGGGGGGGTGGGGGGGTGCTTCGCAGCGTTTAAGTCGTGAGCGGCTCGTAGGATGCAAGACAATACGAAGATGAAGCAAATCATAATCTTTCTGTAAGTACTCTGGTCGGGAGAAAAGCGCGAGATCCCAGGATCTAGGCTGTACACATCTGTACGGATGTTGCTGACTTTGCAGCTCGCTTGCTGGGAACCTGACCGAGTTCTGATGCCGTCCTCAACTAATCCAGGCCATGCGTGTCTTCGTGCGCGATGTTGTCGGCGACACTCGACTGGTGGAGTGCAGCCCTGACACCAATGCTGGGGCACTGAAGGCTGGGTCTCTGCTTTCAGAACCCATGTCAGTAGCTCCAATCCTCAGGCTGAAGAACGGCAGCCTGTTGCAGACAATCTATTGAAACCGCTTCAAACCCTACAGATGCTAGGGACAAGCAGGGAAGAAGGCAACTTAACGGCCAGAGCTCAGTTGGCGCCGCCTACAAGAAGCTGCCATATTGTCAAGCGATGAAGGCTTTTCTGTTCCCAGACAAAAACCCCCGAAACCCCGGAAACCCCGAACAAAAGCTCGCAAACCCCGAAGCCTGAAACACCCAGGCCCTAAACCTCTAAGCTCTAGAGCCTCAACTTTGGGGCTGTCCTTGTCTGGAAGGCCCAGGTCGCCGGGGCAGCCGCTGAGGAGCGCGGCGCTCAGCTCGACCGCAAGAAGCCTGACCGAAATAGAGAAGCAGTATGTGGAAAAGATAGTAGTTGTAAGCACAGAAGTTAAGCCGCAGGGGACACGCGATCCTGAGAAGCACCAAATTGCTGGTAGAGCTCGCAGTATCTTTGGAGTGCCTCGTAATCAAGCGCTTGCTTCAATGAGGCTCTCGCTCCTCTTTGGCGGCTCATCGCTGTCGGATGAAGTGCTGCTGTCCGAGTGCCGCTCGACCGCAAACGAGCAGGTGTTTGCTTTCGGAAACTGCTCTTGCGTCAACGAGTCATACGGGCACTGGCGCATTTGTTACACCCAGAGCTGTAGCTCGCGAACATGCTGTACTTTAGGCCTCCCGAGCTCTTGTTGGCTCTTCTGACAAAGGATCTGTCTCTGTGCGTGGGTGTGTGTGTGTGTGTGTATGAGGCTGTCCTGCGTAAAATCCCAGGAGCCCAACCTCGTTTCTGCATTGCTTGGGCGGCGCTGACCCCGAACCTTCCAAGACGATTGCACGAAGCAAGCCCACATGCCTTGTTGAACCCCAAGCATCATCACGTTCGTCAAAGGCGGCGTCGAGGAGGATTCGACACTCTTCCTGTCCGCCGGACTGTGCCACTTGCCTGCCATGCCTGTCCACATGGCAGCAGCAGGGGAACACACGATGCGCTGCAACACAAGTCATGATGTCGAGTGTCCATACGTACGTCTAGTCTAGTCGCATAGAAGCTTCATGGAAGAATGTATATATGTGAGTATGCGGGCATGTATGCATGTATGCACGTCATTATGCAGGTACGAGTGCACGGTCGTATAAGAGGCATATGCATTTGTGTAGTCACAGTTTCATGTACATATGTATGTATGACGATGTGTATATACAAATGTATACGCATGCGTTCATACACGTCTATTTACAACATGCAGGCGTATGGTCGGATGGCATGGGTCCAGCAAGGCTTTGAAGCTTTTTTGGCTGCTTGGTTCTTGGGCTCATAGCGAAACTGGTTTTGCCAAACAAGCTAGAGAACGCTACTATGGCATACCTGACAGTTTTAGGAGCCCGCGAACACCTTCGACTTTCGAAAGAAAAGGCATGCTCGGAGCAGTTTGAAGGGTCTGGCCGGCATCACACCGATCAGCCTTTAGAGACCATGGAATGTTTGAACTCAGGCGGTGGTGGCAAGAAGAACCTCGGCCAGATTGAGATTTCAGTTGCTGCTTGTTTCTTCTTTGCTTGTTACCCGGGTGATGACATGTTTTTCGCAAAATTGGCAACATGCTTGGGCGCATGCAAAACTCCGAACTGACGATGTCATTCTGCGGGCTTTCGCGGCTCAAGAGAGAACTCATACTATCCTGGAGCGGCAGTAACACCAAGAAGAATACGCAGCAAGCTGTCCGCAAACCACACAGCCGGATTGGATAACATGTCAGGCGCAAGAAGAAGACCTACACCAAGCCGAAGAAGATCAAGCACAAGAGGAAGAAGGTGCGGAAGACCGCCTTCGGTAAGCGAAATTGACTCAGAACACCCACAACTCCCAAGTGAGGTGAAGCTCGCGGTGCTGAAGTTCTACAAGGTCGATTCCAACGACAAGGAGGGGCACGCACTCACGGACCAGCATAGCATAAACGGCTGCGTCATGCAGCCTAACTTCTGGCCACTCCACTCTGCCCTCAGACCCATCTAGCCAGTGCAGAAACTGAACATAGCCTATCGACGTCGGCTCATCTGACCTCAGTGCAGGTTTCAAGCTCTCTTGATAGTCGCCATGGGACCACCTGCCCCAGTCTCGCATACTCGCGTAGACAGTAGCCTCCGGACACAGCCGTCGAGAGGTCAAAGGCTCCGTACACAGCCTTTTATCTTGAGCTTTAATTTGGTTCCTGCCTTAATTCAGACCTTTGTGGCGAGACCTCCCGCGTGTGTAGGTGAGCATAAGAAACCAAGATGAGCCGAGGGTAGCTGTGCCATGCCACACGCTCTGGGCTTGCTCAATGCAACGCTCCGTCAGGTGACCCGGCTTCGCCGCGAGTGCCCTCACGAAACGTGCGGGCCTGGCGTCCAGGCCTTGGCATGTCCGGGGTGCAAGCAGGAGTTGCCCTTTCAAAGACCTCAGGCCTGTGTGACACCAAACCCCCGCACAAGTACAGATATGTCTGCAGCATCGTTGACTCTCAGGTCTTCATGGCCATGCACTTCAACCGCTACTACTGTCAAAGCCTCAGGGCTTCAGAATCGCGATTGACACCAGGCTATCTGTCACAGCAGCGGAGGCATTCTTAGTTCCCGTAAGCGTTTCTGAGGCTCTGTGTCCTCCATGTGCATGCAGATGAGTCCTTCACTGGCTGAGCATGTGAATCCCCTAACTCGATGCATCTTGGCGTCTTGACGCTGTGCTAACAAAGCTGTTTACACTGTCTTCACATCTGTTTCTGGGAGTTGTAGCATTTGCCTGATCTCAATGTTCGTGGAAGGTGTTCTTTCGTACTTCGCATCCTCATCCATCCAGCCTCCTTCAGGCGGCAAGTGCCACTTGACGTACTTGATCAAGAAGGACTGCGGGGTGCCTCTACTTCCGGGTCTTCTCTACATGGTCTGAGAAGACTTTCTACCGCAGAGCACCTTTAGCTGCATTCAAAGAGTTGAAAAGTCCGGTACTGTGCTTGGGCCCCCCCCCTACCTAAAGAGACGTGCTGGATATGGCTACGCATCGCGGGTCCCGACTGCCCTCCCGCTCGCCCGCCCCCCTATCGGCAGCCAGCAATCAAGCTGCGTGCGGAGTAGCACTCGAAATCACGAAAGTGGTGAAAGAGCCCTAAAATCTGGCCAAACGGTGCCGGTTTCCAGAGCTAGATTGCACCTGAAGCTGGATTCTCCGCGGGGCGGACCCCCCGTTTTCGGGCATGAAAACGGAGTGTTTCGGCTTGCTCTGGAATGGAGAGACGAGCCGCCAATGATGCTATTGATGCTCGCCTCCCGGGCCCGGAAGGGCGCCAGTGATGCTCGTGATGCTCGCCGCGCCGGCCCGACCGGGCATCAAGGATGCACAGGAGTTTTTTTGAGTTGCTTGCTTGGCTCGTATGATCATGGTTGTAATCGCGCGGTTCGGTCGATACCGATACGTACCGAATACCAGCCACACCAGCCAAGCCCCCACCAGCCACACACCAGCCGCCCTCGCCAGCCACACACCAGCCCACACACACGAGCCACGCCCGCACCAGCCACACACCAGCCAGCCACAAGCCACACCAGCCACACACCAGCCACGCCGCCACACCCCACCAGCCACACCAGCCCAGCCACACCAGCCACCAGCCACACCAGCCGCCCACACCCGCACCAGCCACACACCCTCACCCGCCACACCAGCAGCCCCCCCACCAGCAAGACCACACCATGCAAGCCGTGGCTGGCTTGCCACCCACCCACCCACCCACCATGGTGGGGGCGTGGCTGATGTGTGGTGGTGTGAATCGTGGGGCGTGGTTGGTGGGGGCGTGCTGGGTGGGGGTGGTGGCTGGTGTGGCTGGTGGGGGCTTTTGTGGCTGGTGTGGTTGGTGGGGGCGTGGCTGTTGGCTGGGGGTGGCTGGGCTGGTGGCTCCGTGTAGCTGGTGTGGCTGGTCGAGCTGGAGGGGGCTGCGGTTCGGTTTGCGATACATGGCGGTTTGCGACAAAAGTAGTGTTGAAACAGCCTTAAAAGTAGCCCTTCATCCATGCTCTGTGTCGGATGCAGACGTCACGTCCGAGTAACAGTCCGCTTGCCTGCCTCGGCTTGTCCACTGCTGCTCTGCCCTAGCTTTCGTCCCGGTCCCTCCTCCACAAGTCCGTGAGATCCAGGCACTTAGGCACTTGCCCTGTATAAACCTGTACCCTCGCACTCCCTCACGCTTGCTCAGCTGGATATCACGGCACAGGAGGACAAGTGAAGCGGCCGAGCGGCACGCGATCTGCAGCGCATGGTCAAAAGAGATTGCGGCAGGCTGCTGTGTGTTCTTATAGTCATTATCCAGTATCCTCTGCACTGAATACGAAGTATAGGCTTGCCGAGTGCCTTTGAACATCACCTGACGGCATTTGGCTAAGCCATAGAGCTGGGCCGAAAACTGGCGTCGCGGTTGTCGCCAGGGACCTACTGCAGTAGTTAGAGGGACGAGGCAGCGAGCTTGCAAGGCAGTGGCTTTCTGAGGCGATGCGGCTCTTCGTCCGCGATGTCGCGGGCACGACGCACTGCGTCGAGCCGGCGCCAACAGAGAGCATTGCAAGCTTGAAGGCCCGGCAGGGAGCGGGATAGGGGTGAGGATGCGATCTTTCATGCAGCAATCCGCAGCAGGCTTCAGAGAACGCCAGAGAACCGACCAGCCAGCTGATGTGCCACTTGATGCTGAACAATCCCAGTTTGTCAAGCTAACCAAACTGTTCGGGCAGATAAACTGCAGCCATGAAGCCCGAGACAATCAAACCCATGCGCGGTATCTCTGAAGAGTTTGGAAGTGGTTCGACCATTTGCATAGGCATGCGCAGTGTTACAATCATTAAAGAGTGGGCCACCCCTGTCTCCTTTACAGTAAGGGGAATAAATCGCGGTGAAAAGCCCAAATCGGGTGCATGATCCCTTGCAGTCAGAAGAGCCTGCACCGAAAGTGAATGCAGTTTTCGAACCCTCAGCTCTGACAAGCACGACTGTCACAACCACAGCTTTGGAACAATTTCACCCATCTCGACACAGCTCACATCATGAACCGGAAGCCCACAGAGGCCTGGCAAGGCCTGCTAGATCCGTTTACCAAGCCTGAGCCGCAGGTCAGACACAAGCCCGAAGGCAGTTTAAGAGAAGCAAGCCTATCGGCTCATCAGCTCCTGAGCAGCTCAACCAGGAACGCCTCGCTGGTGTCCAGTGCTGCGCCAGCACCGAGCGACAGCCTCAATCAGCTTAAGCCGCGCACAGCCTCCCGGGTTGTGGGACTACAAGACTCCGGACTCCTGCTTCTTTCAGCGGCAGGTTCTCAACTATTTCGGAAAGCTTCGCATAGTCTCCGGCCTCTTAGACTAGTACACTGTGCACTTGTTAGGCGGCCGTTTCCCTGGGCATCAGTCCACCGAGCAAACCTAGTGCGAAAATTCGATTCATGCGGTTGGAGTTGGCAAAGATGATAGGGAGAAGCTCGATTGACTCCATGGCTTCAGGCAGCTTGCAGCCTCCCCAAAGCCAGGCAGTGCCTCCTTTTTGGTGGACGATCACTCCGGGATGAGGAGTTGGTTGGCGAGTGCGGCCGCCTCAGATGTCTGGCCGCAAGTGATGGGTCAAACGATGTGCGTTCGTGCTGCAGGCGGCGTGGAGGAAGAGTCGACGATCTTTCTCTCCGCAGAGCTCAGTGACTCGGCATGGGCATCTGCTTTTGTGTTGACCAATTTTCTTGCAAAGGGGAGGCACGGGGCAGGTTTAAAGGGTAGCCGGAAAGACAGCGATTGACGCCTCTTGACTCAGGTGGCGGTGGTAAGAAGTGACTTTGGCAGCAACATCTTCGGGATTCGCGTGGGTTTGTGGGTGAAGCGCTGCCCGGACTAGCCCTTGGCATCGGGCACCCGGAGGCATGCTTGATGTCCATAAGGCGCAAGAAGAAGACCTACACCAAGCCAAAGAAGATCAAGCACAAGAGGAAGAAGGTGCAGAAGACCGGGTTCGGAGTTTTGGTTTCTTGAGCGAACTTCGAGCATGGAGCCTTAATGTAAAAGCTTCATCCTAAGCGCCGCTTCAGGTGAAGCTTGCGGTGCTGAAGTTCTACAAGGTCGATTCCAACGACAAGGTGGGCACCTGGCCATGCCTCCAGGATATCGGCAGGACTTGTTTGTCACGAAGTCCTTCCCCCAAGCTTGTCAGAGCCCAACTTTTCCCCTCCCGGTCAGTGCTCAGCAGATGAACCATGGCAACTGCAGCATTGGCTTTCGCGCAGCGATGGACGGAGGAGCCAAAAGAGCCCTCAAGCTCTGATGACAGCTGCTTGCACTTCAGACACCTTTTCCGAATTTCCAAGATGCTGTCTCCGACAGCCCTGGAAACCAGTCCCAGGGACTCTCCCCATGCAAAGCCAGAGCCCAGAGGCGTTGGCACAACTCGGAGGATCCAAGCACGAATCCCTCTCAGGAGTTTAGCAGGCTACGCCCTCGGCTCCAACGTGCAAGAATCTGCAATGCAGTGATCTGCCAGGTGACCCGTCTTCGCCGCGAGTGCCCTCACGAAACGTGCGGGCCCGGCGTCCATACCTTGGTATGTCCGCGGATGCAAGCAGTCTTTACATAAATGTTCAGAGCTATGTGAAGACACGAAACCCCAGACAAGCATCCTGATATCAAGTACTTGTGTGGGAGAAAGGGAGTGGTTGAGTCTCAGGTGTTCATGGCCATGCACTTCAACCGCTACTACTGCCAAAGCCTCAGGGAGTGCGGCAGGGCCCCATTACACTGACCTCCTGCCCTCAGCTCCTGCGTGGGTCAGTTTAGGGCCTGGGGTTTAAACAGGGCTTTTCGTCCACGTCGAGCGGCTGGCAAGGTGGCAAGTGCCACCTCACCTACCTGAACAAGAAGGACCGGGGGGGTCAAAGCTTTATATACTCCTTGGAACCAGGGATCCGACTCGAAGGTTTCTAGGGGATCAAGATCCGGGGAAGGCAGGGAAGGTTGATGGACACATTGCTGAATAATGGGCCGTTACGAGTCTCCGAATCCACTGAGGATGTATGCTACTGGCATCCTGCTACAGATTTGGCAACAGAGCAATCTTCAGGGTCAGCTCCCAAAGAAAGTTGGGATGATTGGTGCTAAACGGTGTGATGTTTGCTTCCCAGTCATGGACTGGAAACTCTCTCCAGATTTTGTTTTGAGATCTTCGGTCTTATTTTGTGCTCTGAGCCTGTCAGCCTTTCAGTTCCGAAGGATGAGAAGTGAGGCAGCAGGGGAGAGCCGTAGATGCGACCGGCTGCAAAAAGACCTTTGGTGTCAGAGGCAAGTGGAGCTTTATCCGGCGAGAGTTTTTTGGGCTTTTGTATCAGCTTGGCAGTTGAACCGGCATGGACATTTGGGACTTAATACTTCGGGCGTCCGGGGTTGTCTGTCCAGCACGTTTTTGGGATCTTGAATGCAGAGGATACTTGCAGCTTCGTCGGCCTTTTGGGGGACACCTTGCATTTTCAACCATCCGCCTACCCTTCCGAGCAGGGTCCAGCTTCTCACATTGTGCATGCCGCGTGGGCACGGCTCAGACTTCTGAAACTCTCCGTTGGGGAGTTATACAGCGGGACGCTCCCGCCATCTGCTGCGGGTCAAGGCGCGGGAAGTGATGGCGAACCGGCTCTTGTGGTGCAGGAGGGTTCAGGAACGCGCCCGAGCGATAGACTGCTATCATCATCATATATGTCAACATCTACAGTTACGGTTCGTCGTAGAAGTGAAAGTTGTAGTGGTGATTGCAAGAGTGCTGCTGCTACCACTGCGCAGCAGAAGCGACAAAAAAGCTAACTAGGGGGACTGCACCATGACGACCAGCAACACAAGTGCGGTGCAGCAGCAGCAACAACAACAACAACGACAGCAGCGAGAATA